AGACCATTAGAACTGTTGAAACATGTTCACATTTTTGTTTAGAGGCCAGCTGAAGCCCGCATTCGGTGCGTTTTTTTTCTCGATGTGTTGAAGACCCATTGATGACCTGGGGCTGTTTTCTGCTCTTTGATCGGGTTGTTGTATCTTTGAAATATTCCCCTTTTCCATTCTCAATTTAATCATTTGCTTCTCTTCCTCAAAAGCATCTAAGTAGAAATTATGGATGAGATCAGCTGATCTGTTGCAACATTTTCCAGTTTGCTTTAATACAAACAAAAAGTATACGAATTACTATTGTGGAAGAAATCCATTTGACTCTTCTCTAGGGAGGTTTACAAATAATGAAAATGTCAGATACGTCTCATTACCAGCTTTCAACAGACGTTGTCTTCAATTATATAGATTTATTACTGGAGAAGAAAATAAAGTGTAGAATATCATTGATAGATGAAACAGGAAAATAGAATCGATGGAAACACTTTCTTAGCAGAATGCGCTCAGAATTTCGTCTTTGATTGCAATTAATGCACCAATATTAATTAAGGTTTAACTACACATGATCAAGCAAAACAATATTATTGTCAATTCTGCGAATTAAAACGAACTGTCAAAAGCATTTTCGGTACTAAGGAACTGGTTACTTCGAGCGAGATTTTACCATAAGCTATAGAGTATAGTGAAGAAAGTTGATAAACATATAGAATTGGTCAAAAGATGTTTGAAAAAATGGACCCTTTTAATATCACAGCGTTCTGTTTGGAAGTCTATGAAATATGAACCGTAAAATGGTTTCCGTTTTAGAGTCGTACATTTTCTTCATATCGAGTTTTACGAATTGGAAAGAGTACGTGACAGATACATGTACAATTCAGGGGTTATGGTGGTTAGTTACATTTATGTTTACCGAGACATCATAAAAGAGGGGCGAAAGATACCAGAGGGACATTCAAACTCATAGATCGAAAATAAACTGACAACGCCATTGCTAAAAAAGAAAAAGACAAACAGACAAATAATAATACACAAGACACAACGTAGAAAACAAAAGACTAAGCAACACGAACACCACCACAAACTGGAGTGATCTCAGGTGCTCCGGAAGGGTAAGCAGATCCAGCTCCACATGTTGCACCCGTCGTGTTGCTCATGTTATTACAAACCCAGTAAATAGTCTAATTCGGTAGGTCACATTCGTGAAAAGGGAACGGGATTGTAGTTACGACATAAGGAACATAATGATTTTAAGGTATATGATCAAGTTTTGAGGAAGTTCACGCAAAACATACAAAAGTAGGTATACAATGTATAACATGTACAATTTGGAAATGAAATGAAGTGGAATAAACAATATAATAAAATTACGTGAAGATTATGAAGTTATTTCCCCATTCAGACTTTCATAGTGTATTTCATATAATTTACATCTGCCATGACCATGGGTAAAAGTAAAAATCATTGGTAGTTTTAAATATCACTTTGCATTTGGAACAAAATATCAAATATAAAAAAGTTTAGGCTTCCCATCTATGAATCACGATTCTTAAGCGGAGTGGCACTTTTTAGTTTGTATCGACAAACATTCTGTTTTCATTACTTGTGTCAACATTATGGTGCAAATTTTAAACGACTGTATCGCTTTATTTGGAATCTAATACTTTGTTAATACTAATTAAATAAGTTGCAAAGTAATGTGAATGTCTGTAGACTGCAACCAATTACTTGTTTCAACATTACCATGCAAACTGTCAACAAATGTATCGCTTTATTTTGAATCGAATACTTTGTCAATACAAATTAGATAAGTCGCATAGAAATGAGAATTTCTATAGCATGTATACACTGCAATCTATTATTTGTTTCCGATAACTGACGACCTTACGGTTGTCAAGGATTTAAATGAAGAAAAATACCTTCGAGACTTTTAACATTATTGAAAATAACGGTTTTATTCCGTTAACTGGTATGCATTGTCTACTGGCTGTTATATACCGGTTTACTTTAATGTTGAAAGACCATATATTGGGTTTTCAGTAAATTTTCAGACATTAATTATAAATCTTATGTAGTCTAGTGCCTAGCGCTAGAGCGTAGCTATGTTCTGCGTGCAGTGCATGCATAATCTGTATGCAGGCGGTCTTGGGCCGATTAATGCCCCGAATGGGTCCAGGGCAATACCCTGGTATTGGGAAAGGGTCGAATCCACCCGGAAGCTCATACAAAGAACAATTTGTTTATGTTGGAATTTCATTTTTTCTGTCTGATATTCTTTAGAATTATATGCAATGACAGGATCTAGTTATATATCGATAAAGTGTTGGACTGGTTTATTGACAACAATTTATTTATAAACCAGTATAATGCTACGCTAGTAAGTTGCCTTTTGAGTATGCTAGATAACTCGACTTTTAGGGAGTGATGCAAACCGTATACTATATAAAGTAGTCCATAACATAAGATTATGAATTATATAATCGATTAGGCATATGCTCTAGCGTTGTAGGTTTTGACCGCGATGATGAGACCAACGCAGTCGGCTGATGATGCAATATTCAATACAAAAAAAGTGCACCAATGAAGCCGATATTGTTGTACGTTTTTACAATTGATTAGTATGGGGGAAAGGGTCTGGACAACAAATCATTTCAGTATGCTTGGCATACCGATAAATGTAAAAAAAAAAAAAGGAATAAAGGAAAATTGTTATACACAAGCGAGTCAGCAATCTATCGACTTAGATAAAACATAAAGTAAAAAGGACATCTAGGTATAAACAAACGGCCTTCAACAATAGACACGTGTCTATATATCTAGCTTTAAACCGGCCTGGGCAAGACAGTTTTGAAAAACATGTAACGGAGACTATCAGAGATCTGTCTTTGACGCCAAATTTCGAAATTGACTAATTTATAAAGATATAATAGCTGACTTCCTGATTTCGTCATAGGTAAAGCACACAATCATGTACATGTAGCGGGGTGAAACGAATTGTTGAAATCTGTATACTGATCAGTTCAGTTCAGTTTCTTGTATGTTCCTCCATTAATTGTGGAGCACTACCCATAGGGTATAATTGTAGATCCTATATACACCTTAAAACAGAAGAAAACATATACTAGCCTCCAGTTTTTTTAAATGTTAATGAAGATGTAGGGTATATATGTAAGACTCAGATCGACGTCCGGTCTCTAATCGACGTTCGTTCCTCAAATCGACGTCCAAATCTGACGTCACAATAAGATAACAATCCAAATCGACGGCCAATTTTATGTCTCTCTAATCGACGTCTTTTTTGTTTTTCTCAAATCGACGTCTAATTTTGGACTTCTCTGATCGACGTCCGTTTTCTGGAATTGTCGCAGTGAAATCCCAATTTTATTAAAGGGTGGGTTGAACCTAAAACTCAAAAGATATTGAAAAAGATAATTCCAAAAAATTATACTTTTCATCAATTGGCTGTACGTTTTAATTCTTTCTATTGTTTAAGTCAGAATACTGCCCTATAGATGTCTTTCGGTTATCTTTGTCTTTGACAAAACGAGACAGATAATATAAACAAAGATCAGTTCTAATATAACGTTCTTCTTTTGCTATGGAAACAAAGCCATGTTCTTATTCCAATAAAACATGGTCTCCATGAAAGTGCAACGGCAGAAATCAAAATTGACATTTGTATTGTTGTTGCTCGGCAGGAAATTAAATAAACCATTCTAAATTTAAAGTAAATATCTGTTTATGTTTTAATCGTGAAACGGTTGGTTCTCTATAACGTTTTGGCTTCATCAAATCAAAATGGATGCCTTTCAAACGCTTATTATAGGTCCTGTTCGAAATACAAAAGTTCTAAATTTTCCTATTAGAATCGATATAGGTCTATCATATCATGATGTATGCTCATTTTAACATGGGTAGGCATTATATTTGTCAATATTTTACACTTCGCTAACGCTCAGTTTAACTATATTGACAAATATAATGCCTACCAATTTTAAACTGAGCATAGAGCATAGCATAAACAATTATTTCTTAATTTAAAAAAAAAATAGTGATTGCATGAAATAAGACAACACGATGAGAGTCTCCTCATCGATCAGACGTCGTTTTTTTTATTCGTTACGTTACATTAGACGTCGGTTACAGGATTAGAATATTGGACACCGATTTGAGAACATGACGTTAGATTTCGACGTCGATTTGAGGAACGGACGTCGATTAGAGACCGGACGTCGATCTGAGTCTAACATATATAAGACAGCAACCAAACGACACAAACAAATAATAAAAGACGTCTAGGGGTCAACATATATGGTTTTTAACTTGTTAACTGATAAGTGATATGCAAATAACATTAACTTACTGATTTCATTAGTGTAAGCATCACAAGGATAAAGTTGTATCTTATATGACAAACACACATGTCGAATGTACTATTATAGTTTAAATCACATCACCATTTAAATACTAGAAAATGGTTTTGTGTGTTGAGAAGTGCAGAACAAGGAGAAAACGCGTACACAAAACACCAACAAATACATGAAGGAGAATTTTGGAGGCCTACCACATTTTCTGTACAACGTTTGTGTTTGTTTGTTTTCTTTTTCGGGTTTTCGATATGTGTTTAATTTTTGTTTGTTTATTCGGTATACCTCGACAAATTATACATAAATCTTTCGATGTTTGCCGAATGTGTTATTATCCTAAAATAATACATGTATTTATGAAACCTGATGTTCAGTGGTTGTCGTTTGTTGATGTGGTTCATAATTGTTCCTTACTTCTCGTTTTTTTTTAAATAGATTAGACCGTTGGTTTTCCCGTTTGAATGGTTTTACACTAGTTTTTTTGGGGGGCCCTTTATAGCTTGCTGTTCGGTGTGAGCCAAGGCTCCGTGTTGAAGACCGTACTTTGACCTATAATGGTTTACTTTTACAAATTGTGACTTGGATGGAGAGTTGTCTCATTGGCACTCATACCCCATCTTCTTATATCTATTTAGTACAAACCTGAACATAAATAGGCCAGGACCACGGCAAAAACGACTAAAACTTCCATTCTATTCAGATATTTCCACTCACTGTCCTGCACTCATATTGTCATTTCTACATTTTTAAAATATTCAACGCCAAGTGAACTGTAATTAAAAGTAACTACAATGGGATGTTAGTTACATAAGTTAATATCGGAATATTGACAGCTATAATTGTCAAAGTCACATGGGCTGCAGCAAAAATAACGACATCAGATATCAATACTTGCTACAGGCCAATTCAACTTTTTACACTTTGATCGTAACAATTATTACGTACTCTTTATATCTGCTTACATTATACAGACTTTCATCTTTTGAGGCATCGTTCCTGTAAATGGAATTACGATACATATATATTCCTTTATTGAAATCAGTTTTGTATTGAATACTTTTCGAGGGAGAGTAGCTGTTCCTTTTAATGGTTAATCATTGGTAAATGTTATTTTAATAAAAACATTGAGTTAACTAAAGGAATAAAAGGTGCAATAGCTGTAACTGTTAGATCTCCTGACATTTTACTTTCCGATTGTTCAAAACTACCATAGTCTGTTAAATATAACCGATAAAAACAGAATAATGGTACAGGACAAATTAAAATAACTGCTTCTCGACAAATCTGTTACATGACTTGTGCTTACGACCAAACAAAGTCATTTTCATTAATTTATTGAGTACACAATGTACATGTACGTAATAATTTCGGTTCCCGTTATTTGGAATTCATTTCTAAAACACCCGTGTTGATCATTTGAAAGTCATACACCATACAAGTCGTACACATACGTAACTTAGTGAGAAAATGCACTTCATAAAGTATGTTGTCACGTCGATTTCTGTATTTCCGATCAAATAAAATCAATTTTACTCTTAGAATAACAAAATCTCCTACTAATCACATAAACGGCACTGATTTTGTTTTTGTTTTACATATTTTGAATTGTTCGTCATGTGGTTTACGAAATCTTGAAGATAGCCGCAGTGTAACATATAGATCTGTTATTTACAAGCTTTTAATTTGTCTGCAGTTTTTCAATCATCTAATTTACAGAATCTTGAAATTAGTCTGAGTGCAATATCAGTGTTAATTGTAAGCTTCTAATTAGTCTGCAGTTTTTCCATATTCTAAAACACATTTAGGATAAAGATTATTTCCTTTCCAATACACAAATCATAGAAAGTTCATCGCTTGTTATCTGCCAAATGATTGGTTTTGATCTTTACAATGAAACAAATTAAGTTTTATCTGATCGATTTGGTCCCAAAGCTGATGTAAAGTAAAGAGGAATTACTGGAATGTCTTTCAATTGATTCGAATTGTTTGCTATTAGTATTGTACGCTCGAGGCATGATCAATGAAAGGAAATATCCGAAGATTATAACCCGGAAATAGTGTTATGTTACACGTATTGCTGATACATTTCACAACGGTATAAAACGCTTCAGGTGCGATGCTTTTTGAAAGAAATTTATGCATATGCATCAGTCTCAAAAGACTAACATAAATATATCAACGTGGGGCTCTGTTGACAAGGCATGTAAGATTTTGACTTTGATAATATCTTCCTATATCTACAAAATCAATTGGTACTGACGTTCAATAGGAAATCGGACAAATAAGAGTTTATAGTGTAGAATCAGTGATTTTCCAAATGAGAGAAGGGGCACAACAACGTGTGCATTCAAATAAAATTCTGATCCCACTTTTCTTATACGGTGACAAATTATCAAAAAGATGTGATATGACTGACAATTAGACAACTCTCCATCCAAGTCACAATTTGTAAACCATATATTAAGTGTAATACGTCATATCTAGCTGTTTTAAAAAGTTAAAAAGAATTAATTCGTAACTAATTGATTAATTTTCTCGCTTGGTTGCTATTTCATTGGCGTATATCTCACAGTTTCCAGATCATCCTATATATAATATGAAGTATTTGCCGAATGAAGTCAAGAAGCTATCAATCGACCAAACAATAAACGGTTTCCTGTGGTTGATACAATACGACAGAAAGTACCAACGTTTTATTTCATTACGCTGATTCTAAATCTGGTATTATTGTTCGCGTTGAAAATTCAGTCGGACACCAACTTGAAGGCTATTTTTTTTTAATATATGTTAGATGCATGATTTTTTATTAGTTGTTTTTGGCTTCGTACTATCTGTCAGTCACTGTGAGTTCTCTCAGATGTGTACCTAGTGTCTTTTTGTTGTTTGGATGTACTAGTACCCGGCCACGTGCACTCTGTGCTTTTGTTGGATGAATTTCTATTTGTATCCGTATGATGCCTTTTTCAACTGATTTTTATAGTTTTTTCATGTGTTGTAATGTTACACCGCTGTCCCAGGTAAGGGGAGGGTTTGATCCCGTTTTATATGTTTAATCCTGCCACATACTGTATGTATGTGCCCGTTCCAGGTAAAGAGCCTGTAATTATGTGGTTGTCGTTTGTTGCTGTGTAACATATTTGTTTTCTCGTTCATTTTTTGTACACTTTTAATTAGGCCATTTTTATGACCTATACATGTAGTTGTTAACCTCTACATGTCATTTGGTCTCTTGTGAAAATTTGTCTCCTTTGCAATCATACCATATCTTCTTTTTTTTTTTTATAGATGATGAACTGGATGGGAGGAAGACTTACTGGAGGTGGGGAAAAGGAGGGTCGTCTTTTTTATTCTTAAGTTTATTTGTTTATGTCATTTTTCTCTATTCTATATTGTTTGCATATTTCTTTATATTCTTTTTATTTTAGAACACCATAATTCTCTTTTCTCCATTATTTTTCTGCCTTTTTATATTCTCTATGTTTTGCACATACAGTTATTTTAAGTATAGCCTACTGTAAACCCCATCCGAACCCTCTAAAATAAATGTCAAATAAACACCATTGCAATAGTGATATTGACAAGGGTTAGATGTATAGTAAGTCAGTGTGGGGAATAGAGGTATCACGTTCTTAAGAACTAAAAATACAAACTTTATAAGTTAACTCATTAATTATATCTTTTAAAATGACACGTTTGAATTACACAATGTCATATCAGATAAATTGTTTTTAAATACATTACAAATATGCAATAAAAAAAATATGATCGTTTGCAAATGCCACTTAGTGTAAATAAATTATCATGTAATTAAAACACTATACATCAAATGGAATTAAACGTTCTTTTTGTTTAATGTTAGACGCTATTCAATTTTGGTATTTATGTTTACTAAAGATGAGTAATTTTTTGAAGTGAAAGTGAAAGTAGAATGTAAACAAACCCAATTCATTTTACAAGGTGAGATAACACGCTACAGCCTACACTTAATAATGATGCTTGCTTGATATGGAAATTAGAAACCTCTGATCGCTGTTGGCATGAAAATTTACAACTTCTACGGTATAATGAATTTTTGTACGTCTGTCTAGTATTTTTTAAAAAAGTTTCACTCTTTATGTCAAAATATAGAACAAAGGAATTACACACCAAAATTTGACACGTTTTTGGTCGTGCAATCACAGGGGCTTGTTTAGTGGGTCAGATGAGGTTTTACTGTCAATGACAGTCGCTATCTTATATAAAATGCCAATGTAGGATAGCGATTGCCATTCCCAATTCAATTGGCAGTAAACCCTCGTCTGACAAAAATTTCTGACCCACTTAATAAGCCCCCATGCTGCAATTCGGCAATTATTTTTTTAAAACGATATACTTTATATTGTACAGAGGTATTGGAAACACCGACGCCACGAGGGCGTTGGCACAATTATATGTATGATCTATGATCATCTATCTTACTTGTATCAACATTATCAAGAGATTATGGTTAATCAGGGACTTTCTTTACTAGTATAGAAAGTGCCTGGGTTAATGCAAAGATACATGTATAGATTGCAATAGTTAGGGCATGTAGGAGGGGACTTCCAGTATCTTGACTGTGTTACTGAAAAGCTATTTAAATACAGGATAACCAATTACATTTAATGAAATGGTCGTTTGAAAAGGTATTTATGTATGTATAACAGCTAGAAATATTGCATAGCCAGAAATTAGTAGTACTTTTGCTAATTAATATTCATAATATGTAGATGAGAATTGTACCACGTGATAATAGTTTGAACTGGACTGGCTTGATATCATTAAAATCTTTAAAACACGGATATTATAAGTTGCCCGTCACAGAGTCCTTGTTTATATTCACTCTGATATTTCCGTAAAGTTGTCAGGCGGTCAAAATCAAAACAATGAACGCGAATTTAGTGAATTTTACGTGTTTTCGTGAGTTTATTCTTCTTGAAATAGGGGCATTTTAACTTTACGTGGGAAACTAGAGTTCAACGACTACACATACAAGGTTTGGACTTGCTTATTCTTTGGACATTCAAGTTACAAGTTTCATCCCGGCAACCTTTTTTTGTAATGACCTTGTTAGCCAATTTTCAACACGTAGTTTGCAAATTTGACATTTCAGCCATTTTAGCATGTATTTTATACTGCAATGTTAAAAGCCTCTCGCTTCGATTTTTAAAATAGCTCAGGAACCTTGATTTTTGCAACGACAGTCATTATGTTTCGTTTAAATGGTGTATATTGTTGTGTATATTTATTTTCTGTCCCTGCAACCTGTCTATCACTTAAATTAAAGTTAAAACAGACATTTTTTTTCAAAATTCCCTATCATTTCAATATAATTTCCGTGACCCGTATCCGATTTCTTTAGAATAATATTCAAATAAGCAAAGTGGCGTTGATTTCTGGATATGGATCAATTGTTTATTACAAGTACATGTACCTGTAATTCAATGTACACATGTATCTCATATCCTTGGAATTGGTGCATGTCGTGGACAAAGATGCAAACGATGTTTTATTCCAAAATAAAAATATAATGTTATCCACCAGTTACCTGCAACAAAAACATCACTGCAGGGCAGGTTCGCACATCATTGAAGTATATATATCGTATTTTATTATATATAACTGATTGAAACCCAAGCAAACACTTTGGAAGATCTATCAATCTAGCCAGAATGCGACGAGGTTTGCCGATTGAGACGAAAGTAAGTTGTGTGTGGCTTAATTTGTTTTGTGTCATTTGCTAGTTTAATGTCATCCGGCACACCTCGACAGAACAAGCAATTTAAAGTAGTGAAAATTAGCCGTGTTTTGCCGATTGAAGTGAACATACGTTAATATAAAAAAAGGAGATGAAGTATGATTGCCTATGAGACAACTCTTTACAAGAGACCAAAATGTCACATAAATTAACAGCTATAGGTCACCGTACGGCCTTTAACAAGTTAAGTTTATTTCTTTGTGTTTGTGTCGCCTTGATTGTAAGTTTGCTTTTGAAGATCTGAGATAATATTGCAGTCATTTTTGTTTGCAATTTTAAACCACTTGGTCATAAAAAAAAAGAATACCTTTATTGCACTAACCCTTAGGCTACCTACCGAGAAAAATCACAATCTGTTATTGTCCTGATAGGCATGAAGACTAAAAAACATCTGACACTTGAATGACTCTTTGCCGAATAAAAGAGAGAAAATGCCTACATACCTATAATACCAACTGTCTTTTCCTTTGGTTAAAGTTGGGCAAACCAAAATATGTTTAAGTGTGGCCTTGGTATTAAGTGTTTCTTAATTATTACAAGTTGAGATGATTTTAAGATTCTCTGATTATTAGGATAAATATTAATAGTCAACAAGGTGAAATGTGAACTTTGTAGTTGTAAAGAAAAACTTTTGTCAAGCGTCGAACTATCATACCACATCTTCTTTTTTATATATAAGGAAGGAATTAAGATACAAGAAATATCACGATAAACCGGTTATCGGGGCAATATGTATAGATATCGTAAAATATCAATGTGCAGAAAAAAAAAAAACGATCATCTATAAACATTGCTCACTAACTTTTCGGTACATTCAACGACTGTTGGAAATATTATATTTACTTTAATAATCTACACGCTAAATTTTGCAGTACGTTCTGTCGAAATATCACGCTAACTTAAGTTACTGATATCCTTTTTTTTTCATTGTTGTTTTTTTATGTTGAATTTTAGGATAGTATATTATGACGAAAAGAATGGTATCTATAGCAACAGACATCACCTCTAGATTGACTTTAAACGATGGAGTTTGTATGCCGATGTTTGGTCTTGGTATGTATGAAGCATCTTCTGGGAGCGGAGGAGTGGCAGAAAAAGCAGTCGAGTACGCCTTATCGAAAGGATATCAACTAATAGATACCGCAGAATTTTATGGGTAGGTATATAATTATTATTCACTGATGATTAAAACAAAAATTTCTTGATATTTGGCACCACCCATTAATCATCTTTTGTTGGCGAGATATCCACACAAAACAATTTTAAACATCTAGGGGATCTATAGCGCTAAATGGGGTACACAGAAAAAAGATTAATTGTGCACAATAAATGCCAAACAACTAAGGAAAAAAAAAGGCAAAACAAAAAGAGTTTAGTATAATGGGTAGCTAAAATATAAAGAATATAAAATAATTGACAAAATAGATCAAAATAAATAAAAAAAAAAGTCTTTTTGAAAAAAAGAATAAGTAATAGAGACCCTCATTTGTTTTGCTGAAATAAATGTGCAGTACACATTTATATTTGAATTTATTTCATTTTAGAAATGAAGCCGATGTCGGAAAGGGTATAAAGAAATCCGGATTTAATCGAGAAGATGTATTCGTTGTCACCAAGTTATGGGATAATGGATACAGTCGGTGTAAGAAAATATTTAACCGTAGCTTAAAAATGTAAGATTTTCTTTTCTTCACGTTGTATATTGTTCTTATGGGTTTTGGGAGTCAATATAATTTAAAAAGGAGAAACACAAATCTATTATACATGTATACCAATCATCATTTATAACATGCGTCTTTGCATCGGAATTAAACATATTTATTCTAAAACCAGTTGTTGGCATGACACGGGTTATGTTCTTCTCATATATTTTATGACGGTATAATACTAAACCCCTAACAGGAGGGATTGTGCCTGATATTCATATGATGAAGACATAATCTTTCAATCAGTTTAATTGAGGTCTAGATCTGGAGCTGGCATGTCAGTAACTGCTAGTAGTCTGTTGTTATTTATGTATTATTGTCATTTTGTTTATTTTCTTTTGTTTCCTATTCTGACATCGGACTCGGACTTCTCTTAAACTGAGTTTTACTGTGCGTACTGTTGTACGTTTGTTTTTTCTACATTGGCTAGAGATATGGGGGGAGGGTTGAGATCTCAAAAAACATGTTTAACCCCGCCGCATTTTTGCGCCTGTCCCAAGTCAGGAGCCTCTGGCCTTTGTTAGTCTTGTATCATTTTTAATTTTAGTTTCTTGTGTATAATTTGGAGTTTAGTATGACGTCCATTATCACTGAACTAGTATACATATTTGTTTAGGGGCCAGCTGAAGGACGCCTCCGGGTGCGGGAGTTTCTCGCTGCATTGAAGACCCATTGGTGGCCTTCGGCTGTTGTCTGCTCTATGGTCGGGTTGTTGTCTCTTTGACACATTCCCCATTTCCATTCTCAATTTTATGTCAACTGTAAAACTTTTTAAATTTGCAACTCATCTTACTTATGCAAGAATGTGCAAAACGTGTATGAACTTTAATAAAAACTTAAAATGTCTTTTAATGAAAATGTTAAAAACTTTGGAACATTTTATAACTTAAGACACTTGATTCAAGTGAATGTCTTGAAACAACATTTTGAAATAAAATGAATCGTATATGCCAGTTCCATGCTTGTTATATCAGACTGATTTTTACCGTTTTTTGTGTTGTGCTGTCACACCCCTCCCCATGGTACGGAGAGGGTTGAGTGCTCACACTTATGTTTATCTCTGATGGATAGTTGTGTGATGGGTAATCATATCACATCTTCTTCTTTTAAATCAATCCCGCAATTTTTGTATGTGTACATGACTGTCCCAAGTTAGGAGCCCGTAATGTAGTGATTGTCATTGGTTGTTATCTGCCACATTTTTTTCCCTGATTAGTTTTGTCAAAACTCGGGCAGTAGTTTATTTTACTTCAATTTTTCTGAAGTCAGGGCATTTTATAGCTGACTATACTGTATTGGCTTTTTTCGCATGATTGAAGGCCGTACGATGACCTATTAGTTATTGTGTCCGCTTCATTTGTATTCTGTTTGATAGTTGTGTCATTGGCAACAAATCACATATCTTTATTTCGCTTTGGTAAGTAGAACTCAAGGAAATGGTTTGTTTATTAATCAAAGAAAGGCAGAAGATACTAAAATGTTATAAACAAGCAAAAGTCAAAAACACAATGACAACACAATGTCAAAAAACGAAAATGACAAAAAGACACAAAACACTTTTAAAACAGTCTACAAAACACAACATATAAAACTTCAGATTGAGCAACACGAACCCCACAAAGAATATGAAATGATCTCACGTACTCTTTGTCTCAAATAACCTAGATTATGTTTTAATTATAATGTTTGACAAAGATATTTTGACAAAAAGGGGTACCCTTTGTTAAAAAAAAATTTGCAATTCAAACCATTAATGCGTTAGTAATCACCTGTTTGAATGTGTTCATGTCTCTGCTAAAAAAGCTTAGAACGTATTTAGGAAAAAAGCTGAAGTAAACGTTCCATTGATTTTTAGGGGTTATGTCTCTTTTACCTAGATCTAAATCCTAAATATCATGTTTTATTTTAAAGGCTTGATTTACAGTACGTAGATCTGTATTTGATACATTCACCAAGTAGTGGTCAAGTTGTGGAAACATACAAAGCTATGCTAGAGTTGAAACAGAAAGGCCTGGTCAGGTAACAGATATAATAAATACTTACAGCAACTTGTGACACAGAATTAAGTTTGACGATATCGTTTTATTTTTTTTAACTTTATTATTACAAAATCAGACAGGAATAATGAAGATACTAAATTGGAATAGATGAAAAACGAGACAAGAATACGTGGAATCGTCAGTTCCACGTAAATGATAGGAAAATCGTACGAGCAAACCCGTTTTTTTCATATTATTCTTTGGCAAGTTTTGCAAATTAAATAGGTAGGTTCAGCTAAGTGGGTCGACCAGGACTAAAGGTAGAAATGTCGACTGCTACTAGAGAACGAATGCACGTTGAACAAGGGCAGCAAATTTTCTGACGCTACGTTGACATGCAACATGGATATAATAGATAAGATTACCGCCTGCGCATATTTTTTTTTATAATATATAAAAGCTTTAAAACCAGTACATATATTTTATCGGGAGTTAAAGTACGTGACGAATATCATTTTAATACTATTAGGGACTTTAGGGGACCTTAGGCAAGTTTACATAATAATTCACGTTTTTTACGTTTTCGAGTTCATATTACACGGTATTAACTCATGTCCCTACCGAATGCATACTTTTTACTAGATTGATAAAATGTGGATCATTCTTCAAAATGTATCTTTTTGATAATTTAATTTGCATCAATCAGTTTTCAAACTCATTCATGGCAAAGTATTTGACCTTGTGAATGTTATGCCGGAAACACGCGTTGTGCTCACATAGATCATGTAATAATGTTTGGTGATAAATTATTTTACAACTTAATTACTTTTAGTAAATATGTATGAAGGAGGGGGAAATATTTGAATTTATATTTATATTATGATGCTATAAAAAACGGCGGAGATTTCAAAACCTGTAACTGACAATATCAATGCAGAACTTAAAATGCGAACTCGATCACCGTACATAGGATCCCACTATTATGACAACATAGAATATTCAATTATCAAATTACCGACTTTTTATCTAATTCTAGAATTTATACTTGAAGCAAAGGGAGAACAAACTCTGTTCGCTCTCAATGCAAATCTGAAAAAAAAAAAAAATGAAAACGCAAGTCTTAAGGTACATAAGAATTTTTATTCATTCTTATATCTCATACACTTCACAATGATTGTACAGCTTGTTTTGTATAGGCAGGAGCCAAAGTTTGTCCTACTTTTCTATTCTCCAATGAGTGAAAAGTTATGAAATGGAAATCAATGTCGGCAATCTGAAAACTTCTTTCTTATGCTATTTATCTTTTACATCTACAGATCAGTAGGTGTTTCTAACTTTGGGGTTCAACATTTGGAGGGTCTAGAATCTGCTGGACTTCCAACACCATCAGTGAACCAGATTGAACTGCACCCATGGCAACAGAAACCGGAAATAGTGAAATACTGTCGAGAGAAGGGAATTACAGTAATGGGATATTCTCCTCTGGTTAAAGGACAACGATTTGATGATCCTACTCTTGTGAAAATTGCAAACAAGTATGGGTTGTTTTTATTTTGTAATTTAGTTTTCAACATTAGTAAAATAAAATATAAATTTGTCATGAACAAACATTAAAAGTAGTTTAAAGATATTTTAGCATGCAACTCTCAGATCTGTACTTAATGTCTTTTTGTTGTCGGGATGTACAAGTACCGGTCCACGTTTACACGTTTTTGTTAGATGCATTTCTATTTGTATCCATCTGATGAGTTCAGCTTTTTCAACTGATTTTTATAGTTTGTTCTTATATTGTACTGTTACACCACTGTCTAAGGTTAGGGAAGGGTTGGGCGCCCTTTAACATGTTTAACCCCGCCACTTTCTGTATGTGCCTGTCCCAAGTTAGGAGCCTGTAATTTAGTGGTTTTCATTTGTTGCTGTGTTACATATTTGTTTTTCGTTCATTATTTTGTACATAAATTAGGCAGTTAGCTTTCTCGTTTGAATTGTTTTACATTTGTCATTTCAGGGCCTTTTATAGCTAACTATGCGGTATGGGCTTTGTTGAAGGCCGTACGGTGAACTATAGTTGTTAATTTCTGTGAATTTTAGTCTCTTGTGGAGAGTTATCTCATTGGCAATCATACTACATCTTCTTTTTTAAACTTAAAAATTAAATGAATTTGCAAATGTCTCAGCTATAATATATGCAACTTCTAAGCGGTTGTATATTGGGGTTTAAATTTGCTTTGCAAGAGGCTAGGGGCAACAAAGTACACATTTGTGCTTGATATGATTTGGATGATCTAAGAGAAAATAAGATTAAACGGAATCGGATAGCGCTTTCATGCAACCTTTAGCTCACCATATTTGTCACTGAAAAAATGTTTACGCGATGTGAAAGGTATTTGAAGGAAAGACAGAGAGCACTATGATTGAAAGAAAAAACAACGTAAGGCTCTGCTCAAGAAGGTAAGTAAGAACTGACAGTAGTTTACTGATGTTCAAAATTTGAAACTGAGACTCCATAGAGAATACCAGTCAAGAAAATATATATGAGGGAATCACATCAACTCCAAACAGAACAAAATAAGTTCAGCAGTTCCTCATCTTCTAGTTGTGCATGTCGTTTGCTCATAACAACTTTAACACTGTGATTTGTCTAGCCATATAGTGAATCGTTGTGTTTCTTTTCTGTGTTGTGTTTTATACTGTTGTTTGTCTTTTGTTCGTTAATTGCCATGGCATTGTCAGTTTATTTTTTACTTATTTTGACTTATAAGTTTGAATGTCCCTTTGGTATCTTTTGCATCTCTCTTTCATGAAAAAAGAAAAATGAGAAAATGATTCCATTTTTTGTAGGTACAAGAAATCACCAGCACAAATCCTTATTAGATGGAGTATACAACATGGGTTTATTACCATACCAAAATCTGGAAAACCAAACAGAATAAATGAAAACATGGAAGTATTTAATTGGGCTATAGCGGATGACGATATGGCTGTCTTAGTAAGTATATGAGTTCACAAATTTACTTGTAATTATATCTTCTTGGAAAAAATGAATAAGTGGAGCGTAAAATGGAAATTTACTTGACTGAAGCATCTCTTTTGAAGTTTAAAAATTCTGTGATACATATGAGGACTTAAGGCTCCGTGTTGAAGACCGTACTTTGACCTATAATGGTTTACTTTTATAAATTTTGACTTGAATAGAGTGTCTCATTGGCACTCATACCACATCTAGTTATATCCAATTAAAACCGTTATTATTGGTAGTATAGGTATCGTGATAAAAAGAGAAAGAACTGCACAAAATAATGCAATATTTTTTTATCAAAATGCTGTATTTATTTAGCAAGATACTTCAAAGTATATACCATTACATATATATACCAGCACATCACTAAGATTTCACAAAAACTAATTAATCAAGCTCCCCAAGGATAACTTGGGAATAGAAATATTGTCACTCTTGCTAACCTTCCGACCGGCAGTAAAACCTTGCTAAAGTGGAATTTCCGTTTGGCTGTGCGGGATGTACAAGTACGCAGCCACTTCCGGTCATAATGCGGACATTTAATCCGATTGCATTGTGTAAAGAGAGCAACACGCTCTCTACACGTTTAAAATCCTTGCAACAATTCTTTGTGGGGTCCGTTGCAAGGCAAAATGTGTGTCCTTATCCATTATACCCTCATTTTCCAGTGGCAGTCCGAATCCCCCCGACCTTCATCCCAGACGGCTTCTATTACCTATTGTATGTATTGTTAATTTGTTTCGTCCTGTGCAAGCATGAAATATTTGCCACTTGATGTTAAGCAACCAACAATCAATCAATCAATCTATTTAGTAAAGGAAAGAAAATGTGCACATGTTTAATGTTGAATATATAATTCTTAGTACACAAGCTATTGTTTATATGATTCAGCATTATTCATCTTTTTTATAAAGTTACAGCATTAACAACACTAATCCCAGAAACTAAACATCGACTACTACATTTTCAAACTCATGATTTTCTCATCAACATCACCTGTGTCAACTGTGTGAATTGATATTGATCAATAAACTCATCATTGATACCAAGATTAAAATTTTATACACCAGACGTGCATTTCGTCTACAAAAAAATCATCAGTAACGCTCGAATCAAAAGAGACAAAAAGACCAAATAAATTACGAAGGTTAAGAGCATTGTGAACCCAACACACAGCCTGTATTCCAATTGATACCTTTCTGACCGATTTGTATTCATTTGACAAACAGATTTCAAACATAACATTTTTAGGGACAAAAACAATAATAATGCGTGCATTGTCGTGCTATGGGAGACGCTTTCCCCGTTGTCTAACCCAGTCTATCTTCGTTAGGAGTTATGTGATTCTTTTAGATTTGTTCTCTTTGTTTGCATGTTTAGTGTAGATTAACGAGTACTTAACATAAGGTAACTATATTCAACAAGAAAATTGTACAAAGAGGAACAAAAACTTGTTACGTAGATACTAAGTACCAATAATAAATTCATCAACAGAACATGAATCTCAGCTAATATATAGATAACAGCAATTCGACGTTGCAAAATCTAATGCCGTGAAGGTCATATTTCTAAAAGCGTACAACAAATCGTTGTGATTTGTTAAAACAGTCTGTAACAATGAAAATTCAACCATTGACTTGATGTAATTTTCTTTTAGGTGCTCCGATTTTGAAATGACTAATTGAAACTAAAGGCCAGTTGTTAAAAAAGTTTATTGTTTAGATTTAAAGACAAAACATATACCTGTTTAAATCCTAAGCATGCCATACCAAAAAAAAAAAACATGGATTTATTTGTTTCCAATTTATTTTACAGAACAGTTTCCCTGACAAGTCATGTACCTGGAATCCTTGTAAAATGCCTTGGACAGGCTAAAAAGATGATGTTATTAAACTGATATTGTTTGAAATATGTATAATTTTTAATTTAGAGTTGATAAACTACTATTCAATAGTTTCTTCATTTGTGAGAGACTATTTCACAATTTCAATAGGTGTTTGACAATTAAGGATAACTTAAATGCATGCTTCATTTTTAAGAATGTTGTTTATGGTTGGATTAGATCAATGAATAACATTAAATTGCATTTTTTTATTGATTAATCTCAAAACTTTTCCTGAGTGGATATAAATTGTAGTAATTGTTTAATATTTAATACTTCATCAATTTTACCGATTGACCTATTAAAGGGACATTTGCTGTGAATTTTATGTTTATCGGTTGGACAAAAACTTTCATATTTTATAAATAACATACTGAAAAGAATATCCAAATTACGTAAAGTCCAAAGATACAATAAAAAAATGCGTGGACTCGCTTTAACTTTTAAGCATTTCGTACGTATTTGTTTTTACCAGAAGCCTTCTAATTATCCGTCGAGATGATCTCCGACGACTGCTGACGTCACACAACACGACATAACATATATGTAGACACAAACATAAATGTAGATATAAACATATGAGCGAAATTTAGAAATATTATTTTTTATTCTGCTCCATGAATGTTTAAAACCAAGAAAATAATATATATTATTGTTTGTCGAATTCGTAGCTAATGTCCATTTAAATTTAGAAAGATACGAACTTATTCATCAAATACATTTACACAGTTCTTGAAACATCGAGATGCAACTAACGTCATACATCAAAACAAGTTTGTTGTCATTTTCAAGTTGTTCACAAAAAAAAACGTATGTAAGAACAATAACACATTTTAATATTGTCTTGGACGACTACGCAAAGCAATAACTCTATAAATCCATCATGATATAATTCATTGACAAATTTCGAACCTCGATCGGATTAATAACCGCAGTTATCTGCAATACTTTTTGCAATTGTTTAAGATCTTTTGAAGGTAACACTAACATTCATAATTTTAATCATTTGTATTAATATGATATCAGCGTTAAATTTTATATTTATTGGACCGGCGTTCTCTCTACTCCATGTTGTTTGAAATGAGATGTGTTTTGAATCAAAGTAAACACATATGGTTAGCACGCATCGTCTTTTAAACACCTTTTACAGTTTTGTATTTCACATGTTTCATGTTCGTTTCATTTTCGTTCACTAGACTAATCATAAATTAAAATCAAAACGTAATTTCTAATTTTGTCGGATTTACAATCCCGTCATCGTCTTCATTCTCGAATGTAACCTACCAAATAAAATGTATCACCGGGTCTATACTTATATTAACAACACGACGGGTACCATAAATGAAGCAGTATCTGCCTACCATTCCTGCGCACCTGATACCATCCCCGGTTTTTGAAGGAGTTTGTGTTGCTCTGTCTTTAGTTTTCTATGCTGTCATTGTATACTGATGTTTGTCTTTGAGTATTTTTCTTTATTTGTCATGGCGTTATCAGTTTGTTTTCGACTTATGAGTTTGAGTATTCATCTGGTATCTTTCGCCTTTTCCCCCATAACATGTCATTCTGGATTATGGCGTCATTTTTCGAATGACGGAAAGTGGCAGAACTTTCTACAAGCCATTAGACGAACTTCAGAATCACTTCGATTACGTTCCGTTACAATTTGTTCACGAGAGGATGTTTGAAAATTAAACAAATGGATCCCTCTTTGGGCTTGCGAGAAACCTTATTATACTTTTCATCAGGACGAAAGAAACACAATGTGTTAAGCTTCTACTATGGAACATTAAGGAAGTTTGTCAGCTTTTGACAGAAAAATAAATAAGAGGAACATTTGTCATATCTTAACGTTGAAACTACAAAACTGACATAAATGTCTTTTATCTGTTATTTTGAAAGCTTTTCCCTCTTTTTTATATGCTTATCGATTATTCTCTATGTTTTTGTTTAACAAACCACTGTTTATTTTCCAATCTTTATTTTGTTTTTACATTATTTTCTATCTTTAATTTGTTGGACTATTATTTGATATTCTTTTTTTCCCCTTTATTATCAATCTTTAGGGTCGAATCTACATATTGTTTACTTGTTGACGGGAGGGACAAATCATACTTTATCAAACGTTCACTCATAACTGATACTATCAAAATACTGAATTTATAGATACAAGTTCTTAACATATTTGTTTTGCTTGAAAAAAGTGTTCCTTTTCCCAGTTCCGAATCTTACCTATTTGTTATTTAAAAAATGCGATCGATTTTAGACCTCTAGAAATGGATGTGTCCATGCTTCTTTGAAGCTTTTAAACCAAGGGTTCCAATTGATGAAGTTGCAGTCATCCATTAGGAAAATTAACAGTTGTCATCACAAATTTGTTGGCGTTATCGAATATGAATTCCATAGACCATCACTGATATTTTCCAATTATCACAATCTCGTCCTCTTTTCTTCAACGAATATATATTTAACGAGCAACACGGTGGGTGCTACATGGGGAACAGGATCTGCTTACCGTGCTGAATTACATGTGATCAGCTATGTTTTCGTTGGGTCCGTGTTGTTCAGTCTTTAGTTTTCTATGTTGTGTTTTGTAGATAAGAGGCAAAAAATACCAAAGGATTTCGTCACACTCATTAGTCAAAAACGAACTGACAATGCCAGGACAAAAAACGAAAAAAAGAAAAAAAAAAAAAAAAAAAAAAAGAAGAAACAGTCTACAAAGCTAAACATAGAAAACTTATAGACTACTAAAACACACCCGCGACATCGCACGTCCGTGACTGAAATACCAACGCCTTATTTTTAGCCTGGATTTTTAGTTTTTGTATTGTCATCTGATAAAGTCATGCTGATCATAATGTGCACAGTTTTCTCTGCCTTCGTTTTTTATCCCGTCCTGGTTTCCTTACTACAACTTTATCCCTTATTTTGTATATAATTGTTTTTATATTTTTCAATTTTTATATTTTGCGGGTGAGCGAATCGTCGAAAATATTTCACAATTATGTTTTATTGCATTGTTCTTATTGTTTGTTTTTAGTGGAAGGTTAACTATTCTGGGAAACTTAGAAGAAAAATGCTCACTTTAACTCTGTACCGATACAGTGTGTTAAATGTCCTCCTTTACACCATACCCCATGGTGATGCTCCTATCAAGGAGCAAAATACAGAACATACATACAAACGGAAACTACATGTGACATATACTATTGGTATTAGAATCGGATTCGACCTGAAACTTGTTAAATATTGTTAATATTAATTATGTGGAAAACAAAAAGGCCTGGAATGGTGTAATTGTTATCAACAACATTTTCCTATATTAGTTATATATAAAATTGAATTCTTTGAATGGTTGTTTTTACGCCATGACGACTAACAAATTGGACCTCTTTATTTTAGTATTATAGATTGTTTGTCTGTTGGTAGGTTTTCGTTTTTTCCATAGTGTTGTCAGTCTGACTTCGACTTATGAGTTTGAATATCCCTTCGGTATGTTCCGCTTCTTTTTTCCACATTTTTCGACATATAAATAACTTTCCAAACGCACGTCATATGCATTAAAACAATGTGTTTTTCTGGCTCCGCAACAAAGTTGTCGGGATCATATAGTTTTACCCTTGTCCGTCATTCCATCATTCCGTCATTCTGCAACAAACCATTAGACGCATGTTTTTTTTCCAGATATTTGGATGATTTTTTGGTATGTGTGTTAACCATGATGAGTTACAGATCAAGTTTAAGTTTCGTTCCGCTCTGCTAATTTTTGGCGAAATGACGGGCTTTGGACTTTGATAAATTGTTGAAAAACACAGTAATACGGACTTTTATTTCTAAACTCCTTCAGATGTTGGGCTGAATTTTGGTTTGTGAGTTAACTATTATGAATTACAGATCAAGTTTAAGCTTCGTTACGCTCTGCTAATTTTGCAGAAATTACTGGCTTTGGACTCTGATAAATTGTTGAAAATCAGAATTTCGAATTTGTTTTCTTAACGCCTTGCGATATTGGACTGATTTTTGGTATGTGAGCTAACCATGATGTAATTAAGTTTCGTTCCGCTCTGCTGATTTTTGACGAAATTACGGGTTTTGGACTGATAAATTTTTGAAAATCACAGTTATACGGATTTTTTTCTAAACACCTCCATAGATTGGGCTGAGTTTTTGGTACGAGAGTTAACCATGATGAGTTACAGATCAAGTTTGAGTTTCGTTCCGCTCTGCTAATTTTTGTCGAAATTACGTGCTTTACTACTTTGATAAATTGTTGAAAATCACAGTGATACTTTTTTTTTATACGCCTTCAAATATGGGGCTGATTTTTTGATAAGTGAGTTAACGATGATGAGTTACAGATAAAGTTTAAGTTTTGTTCCGCTCTTCTATTTTTTTCGAAATGACGGGTTTTGGACTTTGATAAATTGTTGAAAATCACAATTATAGGGACTTTTTTTTTCTAAACGCCTTCATATATTGGGCTGATTTTTGGTATGTGAGTTAACCATGATGTGTACAGATGAAGGTTATGTTTTGTTCTGTTATGCTGATTTGCATGTCGTTTCAACACATCTTGTTTGATCTGAATTACAAGATCCGAATTGAAAAACCGTCAATGTATAACTTTAAATTAAGAATATGATATGGAGTGAAGCGTTGATTAGGTAATTATTTGGAAAAAAAACATGTTGATGTGGGAATTTCTCTCTGTCATATAAAGGCACTTAGTGTAGAATATCTCAAAATATCATTGGTTTAAAGCAAACACGTGGGAACTGTGTATATTGAATATCAAATCTGTGTATATTAAATATCAAATCTGTGTACTAGTATATCAAATTATTTCTAATGAACACGGTCAATGGGCGTAGTATATTTCAAATAGAAGGTAAGTAGTGGAGAAACATTTATTTCAAAAAATAATATGTGGATAAGTTATAGAAGAATGGTAGATCGTTGTGTAATATATACTAACGTCCCAGTACCCAAATTGTACCGAGTACCGAAATTGCACATATTCAACAAAAATAGCTTCAGAAATCTTACATGTTTTCTTTGAGACTAAACCATTTATAATTTTATGATTTGACACTATACACGTCTTTTAACATAGGTTAGCATGTTTAGATATACACAAAACTTTCACAGTATATATCAATAGATGATCCATTCACGCAAAAAGTAAAACATGCGGAAACGTCGTCATGCGACGTTCACAAAAAGTCATCTTTTAAAAATGAGCAAATGAAATATGTTACAAGCATCCATTTCTAAAAAAAAATGAATATTAAGCGTGGACTAATGTCAAATTGTTCTAAATATTTGAAGAAATTGAACAAAACATCTGTTATTCAATTTTTAAGAATGTGACTTTAAGCATGGATGCGATTTGGGTACTCATCATTGCAGAATCATGGATCGTTTGGAGGTCGGTTTAAGTCTAATTTTCTACGAGTCACTACGGATTCAAAATTAAAATGGTGTAACTATATAGTAAATAAGGATAGGCCTACAAAATAAAAACAGAATGGAAAATTTAGTCTGATTCATAAAAAAACGTAGCTGAAAAAACTGTCAAAATTGGTGCAATTTGGGTACTCTCACGTTAGTGTGCGAAAGTTAAAGATTATGTCATACTTTTTCACTGTCGTATAATATACAAATGTATAGGTAACTGAACGCGAGCAATCTACAGACTAAGTTTGGTTTTATCTACAGATTTGACGACACTTCATTTGTCAGAGGGCAAATGTTGGCAATTTATTAACAGAATGAAGATCAATGTGTCAAATTTGGTCGAATAAGTTGAAACACCATCATACAGTCGACACTTGCGATTTATCAAATGTTTTATGTTGACCATTTCACTAGTATTGTATAATTCATAAAAAAAATCTGAACTGTAAACTACTATTGCCTTAAATTGAAAAACAAGTTTGTAAAGTGTGTGCGTTTGAAGCAATTTTCTTTTAACCTTCACCAATAACGCTCAAACCTAAACAGATTAGTAAAAGTTATCTAAGGTAAACCTTGCATGATGTTCTCTCCTCTTGTTTTTTAATTTTTGCCATATCTTCGGAATCCTCTGGTTTTATCCATGTAGTGCCATTTGAAAAAATTGTTTTCCACTAACCCCTACTTTTCTTTTCATAATTTGATTAAATATAGTTAAAAAATCTTATCAACTCCTTGTTATTTTTTTCACACTTTTAGATAGAAAAAAGGTGCCAATGTTAAATGTATGAAAAATCTAGAGAGAATCATTTCCCGCCAAATTTTCAATGGCTTATATCTCGAAAACAAGCACACAGACCCTTCATTTTTATCTGCTCTTTGGGTTCCTTTATTTATATACTATCAATTTATAACAGTCTTTTAAAAAACTTATTATTTTGAAACAGAGTAGCGAACATTCTTAACTTTTAATAATCATGTCTTAGATTAGAACTGGTAATTTTTATACAAGTACATATATATATATATAAGCATACAAGTATATATATTCTAGTGCTGCATAATATTGAATAAAACGAATACACTTTTACATAATGCATAATATACTTACAGATAGTGTAACCTTTGAATTAGCTCAAAATACCCACACCTTAATCGTGAGCGGGAAGATTAGTTTATAATAAAATTAATCACGCATACACAAATATGGTTCTTCTACAATACCAGAGCAATTCAACAAAAACAAAAGTGTAAACTTAAAACAGCTTTGTTGAAGTTTTCTCACTAAAAGAGGGTCGAAAAATACCAGAAGGACATTCATAGATCGAAAATAAACTGACAACGCCATGGCTAAAAAAATAAAAATACAAACAAACTAATAATAGTACACAAGACACAACATAGAAAATTAAAGACTAAGTAACACGAACCCCATCAAAAACTGGGGGTGATATCAGGTGCTCCGAAAGGGTAAGAAAATCCTGCTCCACATGTGTATCCAACAAGCCTTATATATAAAGACAAGAGGATATAGTATGATTGCCAATAAGACAACTCTCCACAAGAGACCAAATGACACAAAAATTAACAATTTTAGGTGACCATACGGCCTTCAACAATGAGCAAAGCCCATACCGCATAGTCAGCTTTAAAAGGCCCCGAAATGACACATATAAAACAAATCAAACGAGAAAAATTTACGGCATAATTAATGTAAAACAAAGGAACGAAAAACAAATATGTAACACAGCAACAAACGATAACCAATGAACTACAGGCTCCTGACTTGGGTCAGGGACGTACATACATAATACAGCGGGGTTAAACATGTTACCAGGATATCAACCCTCGTCTAACCTGGTAAAGTGGTGTAACAGTACAACATAGGAACGGCCTATCAAAATCAGTTGAACGAGGTGAACGAGGCTTAACTCATCAGATGGATACACATAGAAATACATTTAACACTACACAGATTGGACATGGCCGGATACTTGTAAATCCCAACAAAAAAAGAAACTTAGTACAGATCGGAGAGTACTCGCAGTTACTGGCAGCTACTTCAAAGCCAATAACAACTAATAATCAAAATCATGCATCTAACACTGTTTTTGTGTTCACTTTGCCCTGGGGGTGTTATTTTGCGTATTACATGTATTCAAAAGTTGACAAGCATCAAACAGTATTTCTACAATTCAATAATTTAAAGATTTAGTATTTGAACAATCAATAGTTTTTACAAGTACAAGAAAAAAT